GGCGGGGAGTGCGGAGTGGAGACCCAAAGCCCATTTGTAGGCCACTGGACATCCCCTTATAGAAGGGTCTTGGGAGGAGACGAGCCAGTCAGGGTGCGACGTAGCAATGATGAAACATACAACTTTCCTCTAGTTCCTAAATGCTTCCTCCTCCCAATTCTACCTTACACATATGGCTAGACCAGAGGATGTACACTGGTACAGATAGGAACTGGAAACACAGGGAATCCAGGGCAGATCCCTTCAGGACCAGTGGTGTGAGTCAAGGGTTCATGAGGGAGGGGGGAGGGGGGAAAATGAGCTGATGCCAGGGACTTAGGTGGAGTGCAAATGTTTCAAGAATGATGAAGGCAATGAATGTACAAATGTGCTTTTAAAAGCCTTTAAAAAAAATCTTTGTTTTAAATACAATTTTAAAAAAATAAAAAATTGCTATCACTAAATATTTAATGAGGGTGATGTATAACAATTAGCTTGCCAGTCCTGCAATATACACCACTTTTGTAAACTAGAAAAGGCAGCTCCCGCACACTGCTTCTGCCTTCCCTCCTTTCTTCCCGAATCATGGGAGCTCTTGTGACACATTGGGTTAAGCGTGAGGCTGTGTGTGAACTTAATCAGGCACTCCGGGGGAGAAAGATGTAGCCGTGCAGTTTCCATCAAGATGGACATCATAGAAGCTCTGTGGGTCTGTTCTGCTCTGTCCTATACCTTCACGATGAGTTGAAATGGACTTAAAGGCAGTGGGTTTGGTTTTGGGTGTAATGAATGTTAGACAAAGGTGCCCTTTTTGTCCTTGCCTGCTCCCAAGGCATTTTCTCTCTTTCTGAAACCGTACCTGGTTTGCTGTTGCAGGCCTACCACTCCTCTCTCATGGACCCGGACACCAAACTCATTGGAAACATGGCCCTGCTACCTATCAGAAGTCAGTTCAAAGGACCTGCTCCGAGAGAGAGTAAGTCAGGCCTTTCCCTTCACGTTGAGGTTTTGGTGTGGAATGTCAGGCAACGCTCTGCTGTTCAGTCTAGGTAGTTGTCCACTCAGCCCTCTGTCTCAGTCTGCTCCTGTGCATCCTCTTGCTTGGTGGACGCTGGGTTCTAAGCCTCTCATGGTGATTGTTAAACATGTCACATCTAGTAGGGACCTTGCATCGCTGCTCATTTCTCCAGGATAGTTTTGTGTTTTGCTGGGGAAGAGGAGACAGGCTAGATCCTGGACCTTGTGTCCTGCCTTCACGCTCAGTTCTTTCCACCCATTGCTGCTGCCTCTGGAGAATGCCACGCCCCTATCCATCTCTGCAGCAAGCTTGAAAACAACGTGTTTTAAGCTTTCCCATCTAAATCTGCTACGTTTATCCATTATTTTTAGTATCTTTTATAATGTTATTTACTGATCTCTACCAGGGGGCTGGAGGAGTTGTTTTAAAATGTTTGTGGGAAAATTTCATTATCTTTCATATCATTTCCCCCACACTTCTTGCAGTCCCCTTATACTCTTGCTTTATTGGGTTTTACATCTTTGCTTTCTTCCTTGATACTCTGCCCTTAAAAAAAAAAAATTCTGCTTTTGGAAACTTATTTTATTTTTCAGATGACCCTATTTTTTTCATATACTATCTGAGGCTCTTCTGGCACATTTGAGATGTGTTGCCAAATGTACTTATTACATAGGCTTTCCCTGCACCTAGGCCTGAGGCATGGTTATAAAACCTACTTTGAGGAGGAGCTCTGGTGGCTTAGTGAGTTATACGTTGGGCTGCTAATCACAGAGTCAGCAGTTCAAAACCACCAGATGCTCCACAGGAGAAAAATGAGGCCTTCTATTTGCAGAAATAATACCTACTTTGTACTGACCACAACTCCCTTCTTCTCCTAGAGTATTTGACATGCCTTTGGCTTGATTTAATTTTCCTTCAACACCTGTCTGTTGCTTGGTAAAGTTAAAAATGTGGTGAGTCACTACAGTCTTTATGTGGTTCTCAGATAAAGAAAAGAAAGAAGAAACAAAGAAGTAAATTTCAGAGTATGAATCCGGTTGGCCCAGAGTCCTTGAGAAGAGGACTGTGTAATGCATCAGAAGGCACACCTGACCAAAGATGGAATCAGTCTAGTATTGAGCCCCTTTGTAGTTCGGTCACTTTCATGGGAGAACGGGACCCCTAGAAGTCAGATCACAGAAGATATTCGGTGCTGGATTAGAACCGAATTGGATTCTCGAGGAGAGAATACCTGTGCTATGAGCTACCTAAATGTTGTTGTTAGGTGTCATTGCAGTGTAGTGAATTAGTATAATGTGGCCTTTTTAGCCATGGTCTTGAGACTCACTCAGAATGATTGGGTGGGACAATGAAAACAGGTGTGTGTGGCCCACCAAGGGTTTGGACACCCTGCTAATAATGCAGATATGGGTGGACTATCCAAATAATCATTGTAGGAGATTGGTTAATATCATCATCCCTTTAGATTTAAAATGAGCTGATCCTTGAGACTAAAGGAGGGCTAGGGAGGGGGGTGCAGACCTCACTACTATCAAAAAGAGTCGAGAACATAACGTTTGCTTTGGACTTGAGGTCCCCACACTGAGAAGCTCTTAGGCCCAAGAGACAGCTGTGACACTAGAGAGGATGGAAAGTGAGGCTGGAAACAGCAACAGCAGAACTCAGAGACCTGGCAGAAGATGGCTCAGTGAGTTTCCTGGCCCACAGAGCAAGAGAGGCTTGCTGGTAGACTAGGGTGCCTCTGGGAACTTATTGGTAGAACTCAAGAGCTTGAATACTTCCCTGAACAGTGAAGAGGCCAGGATGAGGGGGTCAAGAGGCCTGCCTATAGGCGTGGCCAAGAAGCTGCCCTGACCAAAGACTGTAGCCTGTGCCTTTCCTGATCCTGAATTGTAACCTGTGATTTTCCTAATTAATCCATAACTGTGAGTTATCAAACCCAGAAGAGAAGAAGGGTAAAGAGGTTGGAGGGTAGAGGTACATGTGAGCTCTGCCTCCTAGGGATCAAGTTTGGGGTGATGTTGCTCTTGATTCTCTCTCCTCCCCCCTTGTGTAGTTAACTGAGGGGGTCTGACAATGCTACTATGCCATTTTCACAACCAGCGAGTTCATTCCAACTCCTAGGCACCCTGTGTGTCAGGGTAGATCTGCTGCATCGCTTTTGAGGCTGAAATCTTTATAGGAGCTGATAGGCAGGTTTTCCATGGAGCTGCTAGCTGGGTTGAATCACCGTCTTTCTATTCAATTCAATCCATTTAGAGTCAAAAAGTCTCTTTCGAGTTCTTTCTATACCAAAGTCCCCTTAGTTTATGTTTTTCTTTGCCTTACCCCACCTCATGCCCAAATCCTAATTTTGGAAGAGCAGACTGGTTTTTGTAGATCCCGTTGAATCCTCTGAGGAAGTTTTCTTTTCAGATAAATCAGTTTCAAGGAACACAAGTCTAGCATTAGAATTCCATGGAAATTTTTTAGTTGGGGAATGAGCTGGGGTCTAGACAACCGGATGACCACACACAAGTGCCCCAGGGTTACTGTGTGTTTCTGCCACGGAGAGGCAGGCAGTCACGGACTTGAAGTATAAATAACCGACGCGGTGTTGCTGAGACCAGCTGCCGGATACCGAGACCCTGGGATTTTGACCTTTTAAAAATAAGAAAAAGAAAACAAAAAATTGCCAGAGAAGTTGTGTAATAAAATCCATCTTTGTCAAATAGCATTTCTGGCTTTTCTCAGTCTAACCATCGAGAACAACGTGTACAAAAATACTCTATTATGGAAAGATGTGTATTTGAGCCCCAGCATGCTCCCAAGTGGCAATTGAGGGCTTTAATTTAATTTAATTGGGGCCTTTAAAGTTCGTCTGCATTTCAGTTGATCTTTATAAATGCATTGTGGGATAATCCAGAAATATGTTCTCTAAATGTTAATAGTCACTTATTTCCCGGTAGTGGATGTTTTTTGATATTGAGTTTCCTCCCCTAATGAACATTTATTTTTTTAAAAATAGGCCATATAGATACTGTTCCAGGTATTGTATATTTTATATTTATATGGTTATATTTCAGTAGCATTGTTTCATTTTGTCTAACCTCAAAACTCTTGACAATTGAGCTTAGCTATTTTTTTTTCTTTTTTTCTTTTTTTGGATTTTTGGCTCACACTTAATCCTTGCTCAATCTAAACATAATTAGTTCTTTTTTTTTTTTTTTAACATTTTATTAGGGGCTCATACAACTGTTATCCCAATCCATACACACATCAATTGTGTAAAGTGCATTTGTATATCGTTTCTCAAAAAAAAATTTTGTTTTCTTTTTAACTTAAAAATAATAATAATAATGAGTGAAAGCCATGTAGCTGAATTTACCATTTTAAAGTGAACGATGTGTGACAGAACATTTACAAGTAGAATTGGTGCTCAGCCCTGCTGCTAAGCAAGAGTTGGCCACATGACCCCGCCAGCTGCTCTTGGGAGAAAGAGGAGGCAGTCTGCTTTTGTAAAGATGTAGGGCCTTTACAAAAGTGGAACTCTCCGGCGCAGTTCCACTCTGCCCTGTAGGATCACTGTGACTCAGAATCAACCCAAGGCAATGAGTTTGGTTTGTGTTTTCAGTGCCTTTACAGTGCGGTGCAGCTACCACCTGTCTCCAGTTCCAGAACATTTTCATCACCTTAAAATGAAACCGATACACATTTAACCTTTGCTCCCCATTCTTCTTATCCTCCAGCCACTGGTTACCACCAGTCTGCTGCTTTCTCTCTGAATTGGCCTACTTTGGGATTTCATGCAAATATGTAGCCAGCCTTTTATTTATGTCCAGCTTATTTCACTAAGTGAAATATTTCCAAGTCCCTTCATGTTGTAGGGCAAAACAGTACTCAGTTGTGTGTTCACCACCATGTCCACTCATGATCTGTTGTGAGTAGCACTGCTGTGCTATTCTACTGTGCTGTGTATGTGTGCAGATAACGTGTTTGGGCACCTGTTTTTGGCTCTTTGGGGTGGAGAATTGCGGGATCCTATGATAATTCTGTTTTTAACTTTTTGAGCAACTCTTTGTGCCTTTGTTTTTGGTGTTATATTTTACATTTGACTAACGTTCTCTGCCCTTTTCCTTTATGTTTGGTTTAGCAAAAGATACAGATATTGTGGATGAGGCCATCTATTACTTCAAGGCCAACGTCTTCTTCAAAAACTATGAAATTAAGGTAAGTTACAGAGCTTTCTGACAGGGATCAATATCTACCTTCAGTCAAGATTCCTATGAGAAGTAAACAGACTAAAACAAGATTCAATAAATGGAATAAAACAGTGTGATTTTAAAAATTGAGACCAGCACCTACTGTTAGGTTCTGTATAGTTATTCCTGCTTCTCTTCCCCCTCTAGAGTCTCTGCCACAGGTCTGCAAACTATGGCCTGAGGGCCACCACCCAGGCCTGTCACCGCTTTTTACAAACATAGTTTCATTGAGAAACAACCACAGTCATCTGTTTAAATGCCTTCTTTGGCTGCTTTCACGCCACAAAAATAGACTCACGAGGTTATAACAAAGACCTATAGCCCAGAACATCTACGATACCTAGCCCTTTACAAAGAAAATGTGCCAATTTCTAGTCTAGATACTTCCTTACCTACCCAAAAAAAAAAAAAAAAATCCATCAAATCAATTACGACTCCTATCGACTTCTTAACCTTTTCAGCCTTAACTCAGCACCTACTAAGTGCCCACTCTGTGTTTGAGTTTGGATGAGTCCCGAACTAAAGAATCCTATATACCATACCGTTGTTCGTCTTTCTCTGAACTTGGCCTAGGGCAAAGAAGAAAGCTTAATGACACGGAAACACTCACTCTTCATTCTTGCTTTTTTGGTTCTGTGAGGATGAGGTCAAAGGTGAAGAGAGGTGACAGATAAGGAAAGGGGAAGAGGGGGGAAAAAAGGAAGGAAAAAACATGTTAAGATCCTGTATGAGCAAGTTACAAGGAATGCCGGTGAGTCTTCTTAATAACTGTAGACTATGCAGCTTCAACTTCAACCCCTTAGCCTCTTAGATCAACTAGCATGTCAGTTGTTCGCTTGTGGACTCTTCATCTACCCCTTTTAGTCTGAACATTCTGTACTGGTAGCAGAGTGTTATGTACCTAATGCAGGACTGAAGTGTAACTGTTTGGTTTGTAATGAATGCACGTAAATACAAGTCGCCTCCTTCAGTTCTCTCCCAAATAATCAGGTTTTAAAACTAGGGAAATGGAATTTGGCTTCTGTTTTTAAATTAGAAATTGGCCTGAGACTAGACCCACTTCCAGCATTCTCCATTTTGCTTTTGGGCTGGCCACGGCGTGGCCCAGTAGAAGTCCTCAGGAGCCAGCCACTCACTGGAGGAGTAATTGCTTCTCCTTCCTGCTGTTTTGTTCTCCCCAGGGACCCGGAAGTGAAAGGGGTTTTAAAAGTTCGCCAAGCAGATGATGTGTCTCAGGTTTTCCTGGCAGCTGTGTAATTCTCCTTCCTAACGCAGAGTGAGGGGAACCCAGAGAGGGGAGATGACGCGAGCTGGAGCAGCCACCAGCTCTGGGAGGAAGTTGCCTCCCCTTGAGTGGGCAAAAAGGGGGCCTCAGAGGCTGAGGGATTTGGGAACCGTGTGTTTTTGATGCTGTGATGTTATTAGCTGCTGTTGAGTTGGTTGTGACTCATGACAGCTCCTCATGGATCAGAGGACAACTTTGCTCTCCAGCATTCTCAGTGCCTGGTTTTTCAGAAGTAGATCTAGGTGAACTCGAACTACTAGCCTTTTGGTTAGCTGCTGAGTGCTATGCTATTAGAATTTTCCATAGATAGTCCAAAATAAAAGTATGAATTCGTTTGTTGCACATAATTGTTATGTTTTGATTAGACCTATGTTTCAGTTTTGCTTTTCTTCCTGTAGAATGAAGCAGACAGGACCTTGATATATATCACTCTCTACATTTCCGAATGCCTAAAGAAACTCCAGAAGGTAACTAAACGCAAAGCCCTTAAATTATTAGTAGGTGTTTGTCCTTTTAGCCATCTGGCCTTTCTTGAGACTTTAAGGGCAAATAGAAAATATTCTCTCTGATTTAGAATCTATGCTTAAGAGACCCGCCTGAGTCTCCTTAAATTACACGGATTTTTTTTTTTTTTTAAAGTTCTTGCCTCTGGAGTTCTGAGGTCCAAGGATAGAGCTCAAGGTCTTAAAGTGGGTGGCCCAGGTTGAGGGTGACAGCTTCCTTTACACTAACCTCTCACTGAAATGTAGCAGTTACTTCAGTTATCATTGTAGGCAAGACACACAGCAAGATAGCTGGGCTAACGATGCCTGTGACCAACTTCATTGCCACTAGATGTTATGGTATCTTCCCATTACTAAAGAAGCTTAGAGTTGACTCTTGCGTATTTTGATTATTGTCTTTTATTCTCATTGATTACCCTTCTAATTTCCTACTCTAAGGGGAGGGCCCGTAACCTTTCACCAGATTGTCAAAGAGGCCAAAGCACATGAATAACACCCACCATCCCACATAGACCGGAAAACTGCCATTGAAATATTGTACTTTTCCCAATGTGAAATGAAACTGAAAATCACAGAATGACCAGACTTACTGGTCACATGAAAACTGGTACAACCCGTGAGAATATGGACCCTGGTAGTCTTCAGGTCTGGAAATGAATTCACCTTTGGGGCTCAATTTTTGCTAAGTACCAAGGAGATGTGCACATTTTGGAATAATCAACCACTTGAGACCAACAGGGCAGCATTTGCCAATGGACAAAGTTCAGAAGGGTTAGGAAAGATGGAAGAATGGGAACAGGAAACACAAGGAGGAAGTGGGATCAGTAACGTTACATCAAAGGGACGGCACCTAATGAGATGAAACAAAATACGTGTGAATTGTTGAATGGAAAACCAGTGATCTGGTCTGTAACCCTTCACCCAAATTCATAATCAAAAGTCAGGAACAGATTTCTAAATATGGGCGATGGGGGGCATTACTCTTTTCCCTGTGAAATTTGTATGTGTATGATTTTTTTTTTTTTTTTGTAGTGCAATTCCAGAAGCCAAGGGGAGAAAGAAATGTACACACTGGGCATCACTAACTTCCCCATACCTGGAGAGCCCGGGTTTCCACTGAACGCCATTTATGCCAAACCTGCAAACAAGCAGGAAGATGGTGAGCGTGGGCGGGCTTCCTACCTGTGTTCCAC